GGGGGGGGGGGGGCAGACCCCATTTCCCGTCTCATTGCCCCAGACTGTCAACCACAAGAGTGAAGACCAGGGGGGTGCCTTCCCTCCCGAGGAAGGCAGTGTGACCCCAGTTTACTGTCCGTGTACTTGGGCAGGCGTATGTCCTGAACGCGGACCCCTGTGGCCACTGCATCATTATCAACAACGTGACCTTCTGCCTTACGTCGGGGCTCAGCACCCGCAAGGGCTCCGACGTGGACTGCGAGAGGCTGCAGAGACGCTTCCACCTGCTACACTTCATGGTGGAGGTGAAGCGCGACCTGACTGCCAAGGTACGGCCCCCGTCCTCGCAGAGACGGGGTGAGGTAGGGCTGTGTCCAGTGAGGGACCCCGAGAGCAGGTAGCTCCCCAAGGCTAGCCCTTAGGTGTGGAGGACCACGAGGGGCAGTGTGGCCCAGTGGTTACCAGTTGAAGCTTCAGACTGAGAGAGACGTGGGTGGAGGACTCTCTCCTGGTCCCTGCTGGGTGACTCCTGAGCCTCAGTCTCATTGTCTGGACAGCAAGACCAGGACTCACCTCCCGGGGTCATCATGAAGATTAAATGGACTGGGCCCCAGCCCAGCGCCTTTGCACCAAGAACGGTGGCTGCTGGGACCGTTACAACTTCAGTGTTGGCCCTGGAAGTGGGGAAGGTGCTCTGGCCGGTGTTCAGGTGCGCCCAGGATGGGGACCTGACCTGTCGGCTTTCTGGCTCACCTGTGATCTCCTCTCTCTAGCATATGGTCCAGGCTCTGGCAGAGCTGGCGCAGCAGGACCACAGCGCCCTGGACTGCTGTGTGGTGGTCATCCTCTCTCACGGTTGTCAGGTAGGACCCCAGCTTCCCAGGCAGACACCTGGGAAAGGTGTACCGACAGGCCGTGCAGGAGCCCTGTCCCTTCCTGTGTCCAGGACACCCAGGGCTTTGTGGGAAGAGCCACGGGGCCCTGTCCCCCTCCCATGGTTTCCTTGGGAGCCATCTGGCCCTTAGAGGAGTTGGATTCTCCTCTTGGGTGGGGTGGTGGTGATCCTGGGAGAGGCAGGGAGGAGACAAGCTCCTGCCCCCAGGTTTTGTTCGGAGCCCGCACATGCTTCAGAGCTCCCAGCTCCTGCCTCGGGCCTGCTGGGGATTGTTCCGGGCCCTTTGCTGTTGGCTGGGAGTTAGGACACTGGGACCTACTCTGGGCTCGGCCACTAATATGCTGGGTCATTGTGCCCAAGGCTGTTCCCCTTCCTGGGCCTCGGTTTTCCCATCTTTTCAACTGAGAGTTGGAAAGGTCAGAGGTTACAAGCTGGGGGCCTGTAGCCCCCTCTTGGTTATGCAGTGTTTTCAGATCTTACGGCCCTCACACCAAAATTAGGATTCCCAGCTTTTCTTCAAAAAACCCCAGAGGTCTGGCCTTCCTAGTCAGCATCACACAGAGCACGCTGTGTGGCCCGTAGCTGGGCAGGGCCCCTGAGGTCGTTTCCCTCAAGGTGTGGCCCCTGGACCAGCAGTGTGGGCGTCACCTGGCAGCTGGTGAGAATGCAGACTCCCGGGCCCCCAGACCGCTTCACGCAGAGCCCGCACTGTAACAGGATCCTGTGCACAGGAAGTTTGAGAAGAATCCATCGATCGAGAGCAGTGGTTCTCATGGTCAGCGGCATCAAAGGGCCCGATTTCTGGTCTCCTCTATCGGGGTTTCCAATTTAGGAGGTCTGGGAGGGGCCCAGGCCTTTGGATGTCTTAAAAGTCCCAGCTGCTGCTGCTGGTCCTGGGGCCACACTCGGAGAGCGCGGATGCAGGAGCAGATGGCCGGCGCCCTCCAGCTAGGCTCTCTTGGCCTCTGCAGGCGCGCGAGTTAGAGGCCTTTGGGTGGAAGCTGACGGGGCCCTTCCAGAACCGGCCTGCTCCGTGAAACCAGCCCGTGCCCCGGCTGGGACCTTCTGCTTGCTGCCCCGCCCTCACGTCTCCGAACGGGCCGTTGGGTTCCCACCCCACCTCTGGGTTTTATGACCAGGATGCTTGGTCTTCTAGGCCAGCCACCTCCAGTTCCCGGGGGCCGTCTACGGCACAGATGGGTGTCCCGTGTCCGTGGAGAGAATCGTGAACATCTTCAACGGAACCGGCTGCCCCAGCTTGGGAGGGAAGCCCAAACTCTTCTTCATCCAGGCCTGCGGTGGAGGTAAGGGGTTCCCCGGCCCCCTGCGAAGGGCCTGGCAGGGAAGGGGCCGCCGCCTGCTTCCCCCTCCAGCAGCGCCCCGCGGTGCGCGAGGGTCCCTCGGGGCAGTCGGAGGGTCCCAGACTGGTCGCTGTGTGCGGGTGTCAGCACCCGCGTCTGGCTAGAGTAGGCGCGGCTCTGTCCGGCCTTCAGGGGTGAGCGTCTCTGTCTCAGCGCCGCAGCATCGGGGGCTCACGCAGCTTTGGTGCCTCAACTCCAGAGACTTGACGAAAATAACCAAAGTGGAGGAAGAAGATCTCCTTCCGCCCTGGCCGGGTGGCTCAGCTGCTTGGAGCCTCACCCCGCTCACAGAGAGGTTGTAGGTTCGATTCCCGGTCAGGGCACGTACCTAGGTTTTGGGTTCGATCCTGGTCAGGGTGCACAGGGGAGGCAACCGATCGACGTTTCTCGCTCACGTCGATGTTTCTCTCTCCCTCTCTCCCCCTGCCCCTCTCTCTAAACGTGTCCTCGGGCAAGAATTAAAAAGGGGGAAAAAAACCTTCATTTTCTTTGTTGTCATGCTCGTGACCTCCACCGATGTGACCTTCTTTCCACCTCCCCAGAGACAGGGAGGCCAGCTTTCTGGGAAAGGGACAGGGAGCCGGGCCTCAGCTCTGTGTCCGCTCCAGTGTCCGTCCCCAGCAGCACGGAGGATCTCTGCCGTGTCTTTGGACTCCTTAGTGGGGCCCAGGAGGCCCTTGGCGACCTGGCTCCGGCCACTTTGCCTCCGAAGCCTGGATGCTGTGCCCGCCCAGCACTGCTCAACCTTCCGAGTGTCACAGGCTCTGGCTTGCTCCTCTGTCTTTCCATGTGCCATCCTTCGCCTGGTCCTGGCCAAGTCTTAGTCATCCACCCTTCTGGTTAGAACTCACTGTCACCGCCTCCAGGAAGCCTTCCCTAAACACCCGCTTCCTTGAACAGTCAGGGTCAGCTGGCCCTGGGCTCCTGCAGCTCCTGGTCCTCCCTGTCACAGCACCTTCCCGTAGTGTTGAGACAGCTTCATCCCCTGCCAGCTCCCCCAGGCAGGGCGAGGTCCTGGCCTGGCACAAAGCTCAGCGTTGGGTTGCACCTTACGTGCATTCTAATGACTTGAACTTGAATTTGAAATAGAACCGTATAAAAATACCTGTGAGTGAAATTTGCAATAACGTAGACTCCCGCCATTAAAACAACAAACCAAAGCAACCCACTGGGAAAAGCAGGATTCCAGCTGGGTTGCGGCTGCCCTTGGAGCGCGGGTCCCTGCCGAGTCCCCAGCGGCTTGTGTGGCCTCCTGGTTAACTCTGCCGCCACATGGGGGCAACTGTCAGCTGAGAACAGAAACACAGAACCGCCCGATCTCTCAGTGTCGGGCACGGCGACCTGTGTTTACCTGCGTCAGAAAGTCTGCCCTGGATTTTGGTTGCTATTTTAAACCTCACTGTTGTTACAATTTAAGACAATTTAAAAACCCTCTTAACGCCTGGAGCGTCAACCTAGGAACCAGGGTGCCACAGTTTGATTCCCGGTCAGGGCACATGCCTGGGTTTCGGGCTCGATCCTCAGCAGGGGGCCTGCAGGGNAACCTAGGAACCAGGGTGCCACAGTTTGATTCCCGGTCAGGGCACATGCCCGGGTTTCGGGCTCGATCCTCAGCAGGGGGCCTGCAGGGGGCAGCCGAGCGATGACTCTCATCATTGATGTTTCCATCTCTCTCTCCCTCTCCCTTCCTCTCTGAAATCAATAGAAGCATATTTTTTAAAAACCCTCTAACACCCGCAGCAGGGGGGACCTTGTTGTGAACGTCGGGAAGCAGCCTGCTGCAGGCCACAGCGTGGTGCCGCCCTGGCCAAGGCGGAGCGGCCTCCGCTGGCCGAGCTGTTAATTTGGGGTGACCGCCCTTCAGCGTTCGTTCGGCGCCCACGCTGAGAAGGCGGAAGGAAACAAGACGCGCTGCAGCAGCCTCTGGATTTTCCGTGCCGAGGGAACAGCGCCTCCCGCTGGGTGGTCACGCTGACGGGGAAGGAGCTCGGCCCTGCCTCCCAGGGGGGGTTTCGAATCATCCAGGCTCTTTAGGAACCAAGCTGTGCATAAAGCGCGTGACCCCGGAGCTGGGCCTTCCCAGCGGGCGTGTAGATGAGGGTGATGCATGAATGGACAGGCGGCTGGCGTCCCCTGCCCGGCGCACTCTGTTCTCCCCACCGCCCCCTCTGGGATCCTATTGTCCCTGCTCCGTTCCCCCAGGCAGCCCCTCTGTGCACCGTCTCCTGAGGCCATTCTTAGGCCATCCCCGCTGGACCGCCCCTCCCCCTGCTGCACCCGGCTGCCCGGGGGGACCGGCATCGGTCCCACGTTCCCGTCTCAGGCCCCCTGCCCCCTCCACTGAAGTCATACTTTGTAACTTTCTACAGCTGCTTTTTTAAATTTCTGCGTCTTCCCGCCCTCTACCCGCAAATTTTACCCAATGAATGCGTAAAACTTTTGCTGTAGATAAAGTACAGCTTCCTCCCCGTGTTTGCCCAGCACGGGAACCCTGCCCTAGAGGGGATCGCGCGGTCTTGGGTTGGGGACCGGCGGCAGGGAGCAGGAGGTCTGGCCCGCGTGTTTCAGTGACCAGTGCCGTCCGGTTTTGCCTCCTGCAGAGCAGAAAGACCACGGGTTTGCGGTGGTCTCCAGCTCCCCTCAGGACGGGGCCCCCGGCAGGAACCCCGAGTCAGACGCTGCCCCGTTCCAGGACCACCCAGGCAGCTACGACCAGCCGGATGCCGTGTCCAGCCTGCCCACGCCAAGCGACATCTTTGTGTCCTACTCCACCTTCCCAGGTGAGCGCGTCAGCCTGTGGGGCTGCCCCCCCGTCCTCGGAGCAGCTGTGTTGCGAAGGAAAACACCTGGGCGTGAGGCCTGGCTTTGCCTCTTGCCGCCTGTGTGACCCTGAGCACGTTACTTCACCCCCTCCGAGCCTCGGGTCAAGGCGGGCGAGGCACCTGGGGTACAGCATTTCAGGCGGCATGCGCCCTTGGGCTGTGTGCCTCGCCCCCACCCTGGCAGTGCCTCAGTTTCTCATCTTTAAAGTGGGAATAAGAACCGTACCTTGAGGACGAACAAGGTGGCTGGCTCACCACCCGGCACAGTGCCCGGCGTCCCTGCTTTCCTGTCCCTCGGGGGAGTCCCTTGACTTCTCTGAGCCTTGGTGTCCGTGCAGGAAATCACGGCCAACGTCACGGGGGGCGATGGTGGTGACGAAACAAGGTCTCGCGCGGGCACAGCGCAGGGAGGAGGGCCGCTCCTGCGGGGGCGTGAACGGAGGCCGGAGGGCCGGGCGGCCGGCGGCTCTCCAGCAACGCTCAGCCTCCCTCCTTTCTCCTTCGAAGGTTTTGTCTCCTGGAGGGACCCCAGGAGGGGCTCTTGGTACATCGAGACCCTGGATGGCGTCTTTGAGCAGTGGGCTCACTCTGAAGACCTGCAGAGCCTCCTGCTCAGGGTGAGCCCCGCCCTCGGGGAAGGAGCGGGGAGGCTGCTGGGAGGGGCAGGTAGACCAAAGGCAAGAGGTGGTGGGACACCGTCGGCCTCCGCACCTCTGCTCGCCAGTCGGCGCTTTTGCTTCTCTAACCCGAGATGTCACTGCCTGCGGTGACATTCGCCCCTTATTACAAGGGCCGCCATCCTCGGCTTCTCTGAGGTCCCCAGGCCGACACCTTCCGCTCCCCTTCAGCCCCCCGCCCGACGGAGCCAGTCCTCAGCCCCAGGGTTGGCTGCCTGGTGGACAGAGCGACAGAACACGGCAGTCCTGAAGGCAGGCCGTGGGCTGTCCCTGAGCCCTTTGGCCCACTATGTGGTCCTACACTCTCGACCCTCCAGAACCTTGAATCCTCTTCGGATGTCCCCTTCTCTGGAGGCCCCAGCGAGACGACAGGGGAGGATGGCCTGATGGGGCCCCAGTCTCGCTGAGCAGAATCCCACTCAGAGCAGTGGCTTCCTCTGAGGGCCCCAGAGCACATGGGCCCCCTGCTCTGCTCAGGTGTTTTGTGTCACGAGAAGGGCTCTCTGGGCTGGGACCACTCCCGTCCTCCACAGAGGCTCTGGCTCTGCTTTCCTGAGCTGAGTGCAGAGGAGAAGCCACGTGCAGGGCCCCCAGAGGCAGCCTGCAGCCTGCGGGGTGGGGGTCGGGGGTCCCTCGGGGCCAAGTGGTGCACTCAGCTCCTGGGCCCATCGCTTCTCTCGACTTTCCTTCAAGCAGGCCTTTCCGTCTGATTTGAGCTTGGTAAATTTTTGAATTTGGAAATTTTGAATTCTGAGTTTTCTAAACGTGTTCTTTAACTGCCTCCCTGCCTCCAGGCAGGCCTCAGTGAGAGCCGTTTTAAAAATGCTTACTCGGGGGACATCCCGCAGCCCCTCTTCGGTCCAGAAATGGAAGGATTCTTACTTGGAGCGAGAACTCACAGAGCTCCCCGTGGTTGTTTTCACAGGTCGCTAATGCCGTCTCGGAGAAAGGGGTTTACAAACAGATTCCTGGGTGTTTTAATTTCCTCCGGAAAAAACTCTTCTTTAAAACTTAATGAAGCCAGGGCCCCCGACCCTGCCTCGCCCAAACCTTCTGGCTCCCCGCCCGGGACGGCCGAGGCCTGGGCTTTCCTTCAATGTGGCTGTCACGCCGAGAAGGGTGCTGTGGCCCCTGAGAGCCTGCTCTTCCCCCACGGGCGGCGGACAGGCTCTTAGCAGCTTCCAAACCGGAGACAAGTGACCGACGATGGAGCACGGGGAGCCGAAGGCCGTGGACGGCGTGTGGCTTTCCACCCGTGGCTGGTGTCTGAGGCCCTTGTATTTTCTTAGCCTCAGCACCACTGACACGTGGGGCCAGACAGTCCTATGCTGGGGGAGGGGGTGTCCTGTGCACTGTAGGAGGTTTAGCAGCAGCCCTGGCCTCCAACCACTAGATGCCAGTAGGATCTGTCCCTGAACAGTGACAACCGAAAATGCCTCCAGACGCTGCCGGGTGCCCCGCCCGAGAACACTGAGCTGTGGGAATATTTCAGCTACAAACAAGCCAGCATCTCTCTTAGACCAGCAAGTGTAGGACCCGAGTCTGAACAGCTGGAATCTGTGGATCTTAAATGAAGTCTTAAAAACTATTAAATTTTCCTGTATTTCAGCGTTCTTAAAAAAATAAACCTCAGGTGAACATGGGCTCTCTTTTGCCTGTTTCTCCCTCTTACTTTGCTTCAGCCCTTTGTTCTTCCTTATAAAGGAGACTTTTGCTTTTTTCCCCCCGAAACATTTCATTGGCTCCCCACCCCGACCCCATCCCAGGAGGTCACGGGGTGGGAACCGTGTGCTCAGGGAGGTCAGGTGCTTGTCCAGGGGAACACTGTTAACCATGGAGAGACCTGGCCGGACCCGGGTCTCCTNGGGGTGGGAACCGTGTGCTCAGGGAGGTCAGGTGCTTGTCCAGGGGAACACTGTTAACCATGGAGTCCCGCCTGCGCCTCCAGGTGCCTTCCTGGGCCGAGGACCCCGCGCTGCAGGGGGACCAGCCGTGGGACTGAAATGCTGGGCCTCCCCAGAGAAGGCCCCGACCCGAAAGTCTTCTGAACGGTCCCAATCGGCCTCTTGTCAAAGCCCAGCACGTGAGAATGGTTTGCTAATAAGACTCTCACCCAGGCGTGATTCGTGTTATCGTCACTTTATTATTTTCCTCTGTGACTTTCCAAGGCTGAAGCCGTTCCGGGAGCTTCTGGTGGTTAGTTGTTCGCAATCGCCTGCAGGACACACGCAAGAAGACAACCAGGTTAACCTGGCGGGCAGGCGCTGCGCCGGGCAGCGTGGGCCTCCCCGCCCGGGCCCCGGTGACGCAGCAGTGCCCGCGGGGCTCTAGTGGTACCCGCGAGGCCCCGCGCGCTCTGGGAGAAAGCGATGCCATCACAGCTCTTCCCCGCCTGCCGGGGGAACTCCTACAAATCACAGGCTTTAGATGTCACTTGTTTCTCAGGGGGTTGGGAGCCCTGACGCAGTTAACACGCACTCCTGTTTGCGCCGGGCGGGCCGCGAAGCGTGTGGGCGGGGCTGTAACCCGTCTTCAGAGGCTGTTTAGCAGTTTTCTCTTAAACTTTGTTGTTTTTTTAAATCCTCACTTGAGGATATTTTTTCCATTGATTTTCTTTAGACAGAGTGGAAGGGGAAGGAGGGAGAGAGAGAGAAACATCGACGTGAGAGACACACATTGATCANTTTTTTAAATCCTCACTTGAGGATATTTTTTCCATTGATTTTCTTTAGACAGAGTGGAAGGGGGGAGGAGGGAGAGAGAGAGAAACATCGACGTGAGAGACACACATTGATCGGCTGCCTCCCACACGCGCCCCCAACCGGGGCCGGGGATCGAACCTGCGACTGATCCCTGCAACCAAGGTGCTTGCCCTTGACCAGGAATCAAACCTGCGACCCTTCGGGCTGCAGGCCAACACTCTAACCACTGACCCACACCGGCCAGGGCAGTAAAATCCTATTTTTGGTTAGAAGACAGTATGTATATATATGTACATAAAGCCCAGGAGACGACACCGTTAGCGATGATGATCTCTGGGGGGTGGAACTGGAGATGTAAGACAAGGGGAATCTGTACCTTTTTACTTGATATACCCTATAGTTTTTCAATGTTTTTATAAAGAGTATGTATTACCTTCTAAAGTATAAATAAAAGTGGTGAATGCCAGAGATTCATGTGTTGCTGTCGCTCAAAGAACATGTGTTGAAAAGATGAATGTCCCCCCCACCTGTCTCCCCCTGTTGCTTTCCTGCTCCTGTTTCGATGGCAGCTTCCTGACCGTGACCCTCTGACACCTGCCTGGGTTTGTCTGGGCAGGTGCTCCCCGGCGCCTGTGTGTGACGCAGGCGTGCCCCTGACTGTGACCACTGCAGGGTTCCCCCGGCCCCTCTGCAGCTGCCGGGCGGCCTCCACCAGGGGACAGCTGGCTGCTTGGCTCTGCCACTCGTGGACCCCACTACCAGGCACATGTGCCTGCCCTGACTGCTGTCCCGTGAACCCAGGACCTCGCCTAGCTGCCATGCTTTCGGCTGTGGCCCCGCTCTGCTGTGCTTGTGTCTGTCCCTGGGAACAGCTGATGCTGGGACAGAAAATCAGGACAGTTGCCCCTGGGCCCCTGCTTTGGGCCCTCAAGGTGCTGCCAGGACCAGCTGCCCCGTGACGCATGCAGCAGCTGGGGCTGGGAAGGACCCTCTGCCTGGGAAAAGGCCTCTCTGCACCCTCCTGTCCAGTCAGTCTTGGGCCAGGGCTTCTTTGAAATGCTGGTGACACCGTAAAAGCCAGACTCCAATTTCCCTCTGCCAAACCGGAATCCTGGCTCTCTCGCAATTTACCCAAAACAAAACATAAACAAAACCCTGCAAATGAATGGCTACTCTCTTCTCGATTTTACATTTTCCTCCAACAAGTTCTCCTGGCACCTCTGGTGTCTGTGACCACTTGTTGGCAAAGAGACGCCAGCAGGCAGATGAATGAGTGAGGAGCGGCGAGTGTTAATGGGAAATGCGGAGGCGGCCACCTGCTTGTTTTGACAGGGACCGTGTGACGGTGCAGTTTCCCCCCTGTGACCACATGCTCCTGGCTGTGGCTTCATATTTGGTTTTATAACAGTGTCGGTTCGAGTTGGTGAACAGTCCTCTGAAAATTAAAATAATGGAATCAGATGCCAGCCCCCCTTCCTTGGGGCTCTGCCACAAACACACAGCTCCCACTTGCTCTGGCTCCTAAAACACGAGGAGGCCTGGTCTTGCTCAAGTCCCATTTTACAGGAGAGCAAACTGAGGCAGGGGTGAAGCCAGGAGGTGGGTAAAGAGTGCCCCTAGTGGGCATAGACTGTCTTCTTCCCTCCCTGGAGCCATCGCTAGGCACAATGGCTCCCTGCCTCAGTTTCCCCATGCCCCCCCCCTCCCAGGCCTGCCTTTCCTTGATGACTTTCCCTGTCGGGGCTGCTTAGACCTGCTGCTGACTGTAACCATGGCCGTTCCCAAGACTGGTACCAGTTTAAAAAAAAAAAAATTTTCATGGTCTTTATTATAAATGTGTGTTTTCTGTTAAAATAGGAATTGAGCTGGTGGAAGCGGATGAGGTTTTGAGCTCCCAGGAGACACCTCTCCAGGGACACATTCACGATATTAGTGGGACCAACTCAGTCCCATTTGCCTGGCCTGGCCCAGTCTAAAACGTAAAGTCCTGCATCCCAGAAACCTTCCAGTCCCCTGCAGACCGAGACAGCTGTCACCCATCGTTTGTGCTTGGGGATGCAATTAGCTAGGGGACCCTTTAGGGGGAGAAGTTTCCAATAATTAAGGCGGTGGGGGGTTTCAACCTGTTCGGTTTTGGGCTTTGCAGATAAACTCGTCAATAGCATTGGATGGTGAAGTCTGGGCCGACACACAGACAAGCAAAAGTAGAATTCCCCACTAGTCCTAAGGATCCCACTCTCATTTTTTTTGTTAATCTTCCCCCGAGGATATTTTTTCCACTGATTTTTAGGGAGAGTGGAGGAAGGGTGAGAAGTNATCCCACTCTCATTTTTTTTGTTAATCTTCCCCCGAGGATATTTTTTCCACTGATTTTTAGGGAGAGTGGAGGAAGGGTGGGAAGTGGGGGAGAGAGAGAAACATCGATGTGAGAGAGACACATTGATTGGTTGCCTCCGCAAGCACCTACCAGGGCCAGGGATAGAACCTGCAGCCCAGGCACATGCCCTTGACCGGGAACCAAACCCAGACCCTTCGGTGTGCGGGCCAAAGCTCTAACCAGGGGCGTGGCCGGCTCTTACCGCATTGATCCAGTCAATGTAGTTGGAGACCCGGGTGAAGACAGAGGGCTTGTGGTAGTAGTTGCAGCCGAGGGAGGACCCGAAGCTGACCACGCCATGCACCTCCCACTGGCCGTTGGCCTTCTGGCAGTTCAGGGGTCCTCCGGAGTCTCCCTAAGGAAGGCGGGCTTGCGTCAGGAGGGCCCCCGGGGGCTTGGCAGGCGACGGGAGGGGAAGGGGCTGCCCATAGAGACCCGTGTTTCCCATGGTCACAGCTCAAGGTGGCACCATAATACCAGCAAGAACTAACATTTGTTCTTTCTGTGTGCCTGGAACTGAGCTAAGCCCTTCCTTCCTTCCTTTCGAGAACAGCTTATTGATTTTTAGAGAGAGAGAGGAAGGGAGAGGGGGAGAGAGAGAAACATCGATGTGAGAGAGAAACACCAATCAGCTGCCTCCTGCACGCCCCCTACCGGGGATCTAGC